CCAGTATGGTTGAACATCTAGCATAGCTCAAGTCAAAATTGAGAAGACAGCAACAGAGAGTAAGTGCCGCCTATCCAAAGAAGCTGAAGAAAGAATGGACCACTTGGTAAGCTGTTGCAAGAAGATTGCACAGACTGACTACAAGCACCTGCAACATAACACCCAAGACTTAACAATTGTCGATAAGAAAGACAAAAAAAGTCTGGATAATGGACGTGGCAGTGCCTGGAGACAGCAGAATAGAAGAGAAAGAACTGGAGAAGATAACAAAATACAAAGACCTACAAATACAAGTAGAAGGACTGTGGCAAAAGCAAGCAAGAGTAGTACCAATAGTAATAGGCTCCTTGGGTGCAATTTCAAAACAACTGGAGCACCACTTGGACACCATTGGCATTGACAAATTCGCTATTAGTCAATTGCAAAAGGCGGCCTTATTAGGAACTGCTTCCATCCTGCGACAATATCTGTAATACCATCAAACATCCACATCTGCCTATCCCAAGTCCTGGGTAAGGACTCGATAGGTAGACAAAATGCCAAATCCAGTCTGAACATCTGGCTGACTGTGCGATGATCCATAATAATAATAAGTTGGAAGGGACCTTGGAGATCATCTAGTCCAACCTCCTGCTCAAGCAGGAAACCCTATACCATTTTGGACAAATGGCTGTCCAGTCTCTTCTTAAAAACTTCCAGTTTTGGAGCATTCACCGCTTCTGGAGGCAGATTGTTCCACTGGTTAATTGTTCTAACTGTCAGGAAGTTTTTCCTTAGTTCTAGGTTGCTTCTCTCCTTGATTAGTTTCCATCTGTTGCTTCTTGTTCTGCCTTCAGGCACTTTAGAATGTAGTTTGACTCCCTCTTCTTTGTGTCAGCCCCTGAGATATTGGAACACTGCTATCATGTCTCCCCTCATTCTTCTCTTCATAAAACTAGACATACCCAATTCCAGCAACTGTTCCTTATATGTTTTAGCCTCCAGTCCCCTGATCATCTTTGTTGCTCTTCTCTGTACTCTTTCTAGAGTCTCAACATCTTTTTTACATCACGGTGACCAAAATTGGATGCAGTATTCCAAGTGTGGCCTTACTAAGGCATTGTAAAGTGATACTAACACTTCAAGTGATCTAGATTCTATCCCTCTGTTAATGCAGCCCAGCACTGTGTTGACCTTTTTGGCAGCTGCAGCACACTGCTGGCTCATATTTAAGTGATTGTCCACTAGGACTCTGAGGTCCCTCTCACAGTTACTATTATTGAGCAAGGTACCCCTATACTATACCTATACATTTGGTTTTTCTTGCCTAAATGTAGAACCTTACTTTTTTCACCGTTGAATTTCATTTTGTTAGATAGTGCCCAGTGTTGAAGTCTGTCCAGATCCTCTTGTATCCTAAGCCTGTCTTCTGGAGTGTTGGCTATTCCTGCCAGCTTGATCCCAATAGACTGTTTCTCTAAAGTGCAATCCAAGATATTGATCTCCCTCTTTCTTAAATAATTGTCATTCAAAATAATAGATGTACTACATCTTCTATTTCTGGAACTCCACAAATACAAGTATATTCATTGTAAGGAGTTTGGAAGATTCAACTCAATACTTGGAAGGTACATTTGTAGCAGCTGATGCCTTTCAGTGTGCCAGCCTTACTGAAGACGCCCTACTTTTCTCTATTTTAACCATCCTGGATTCTCTCTGCAGCATTTTTTTTAGGTTTTTCTCGAGTGGCAAAAAAGACAGGCAGATGACAGTTCCCAATATAAAATGAAGAATGTTTTAAATGAAATTTGTTTGTTCTAATAGCATTTGGGCACTCTTATTAGTTTAACAAAGGGAAGGACGAGGGGTGACATGATAACAGTGTTTAAATATCTCAGGGGCTGCCCCAAAGAAGAGGGAGTCAAGCTCTTCTCCAAAGGACCTGATTGCAGGATGAGAAGCAACGGATGGAAACTAACTAACTAATTAACCAGTGGAACAACCTTCCTCCAGAAGCTGTGAATGTTCCAACACTGGAAGTGTTTAAGAAGAGATTGGACAGCCATTTGTCTGAAATGGTATAGGGTTTCCTGCCTGAGCAGTGGGTTGGACTAGATGACCTCCAAGGTCCCTTCCAATATCATCATCATCATCACTATTATTACTATTGTTATTATTTTCCATACCATTAATTTTAATAAAAATATTTATATACCCCAATTTTATAAATTGTATAAAGTCCCAATTCTGCTCTGAGGGCAGCAGTTGAAGTCCTTTCATCCACCCTCAAGATACTTCTCAGATATGTGATCTAATTTGTTCTAATAGTGATATAAATTAAATCCCAAAGTTCAGCTCAATATAAGTGCATAATAGTAACGGTGGTATTTTGCATTTAATAATCCAGTCTAAGGAAGCTGCATACCTATGAGTTTTTTTTTTAAAAAATTAACAGTGCATTCACTTGTGCCTTCTAAGTGAGCTCCTTTGATGTTGAGGGAGCCCAGATCCAGTCCCAGAGAAAATTCCCCCAGGTGAGGAAAGGTGTGAACTTGCTCTGTTGCCTCCTCATCGATTAGCCCTATAGGGCAATGCTGTCATTTCCCAAAGACCATCACTTTTGACTTTGACTCATCTAAAATCAGATAATTATTATGAGAATAGGATCCAAGTCCTCTTAACAGCACATGCAACCCAACTGTCATATTGGCATCACCTTTTTCTTCAGTTTTGGTACATATCAATCCTACTTCTCATGGCTCCATTGAGCCCCAAACACACTCTCAAGCAAGTGAACAAAAATGGGATGGAAGGGACTATGGAGTGTTCCTCAATTATTTTTAAACCTAAATTTAAGTCCTAGTCTCCACTTATTTTATTATTCTCTACCTTACTTAACTTGATTACTAAACACCAAGTCAGTTTGCATCTGTGCTTTCCTCATTACCGTTGCTGCACCCACTCATTACATAAAGTAATTATCCGTTTCTTGGGAAATAGCAGGAGTTTGACATTATTTCAAGGTTTCAAGGCACTTCCACAATTTCCTCATTAACTGCTTTCTGTGGCTCTTGGGCAAAGAACCACATAATTAAATATGAATTTCCTTTCTTTTTAGGGCTGCCAATTTTGCCATTTTCAGTCTCACTGGTCTCCTACTCTTTAGTGCACCTGTGGTTAATTGATTTGTAAGTTTGCATGTTCATCTTCTATCAGGTCCTGTATCAAGGCTATTTGATGGGAGTCCACAGAAATTGGCTCCAGCCCTCAAGGCAAAGCTTAGGAGATATGGCTCAACAACCACCTTTTCCACTCATTGCTGGGAACTTTCAACCCATTGCTCACCAACAACCAGGCTCAATATTGACTCCCTGAGAGACCCTCCAAGGATGCTTTTTCACTGCAACAATTCTTTGCATCTTGATTACTTAACATTTTCTGTATTATATTTCTGCATCTAACACAGAAATTGTTAAATTTTTCAGTGGGGTTTTTTTGTTTTCTATTCTTCTCATCCTTCACTGTAAGGATCCTTTCTCAGAGCAATTGTATTACAGATTGGGAGAAGAAAAAAAGAGAGAAGAGAAAAAGTTGTTGAAAAATAGGCAAATGTTGAAAAGTCATGTTTAGTTTGTGAAACTAGGATGATTTTATATGTAACTAAGTCTGAGTGTTTTGTTTTGTGAAAACAGATTTTAAGTTACTGTGTTATTCAGGGCACGGGAAAATGCTTGTGCTTCACTCTGAAACCATCTCTAAATCTCTACAGCATCCATGGCAACTGGATGCGACACCTGAGAACCAACAGAACTTACAGAATAACCGAGTTGGCAGGGACCTGCTAGTCCAATCCCATGCTGAAGCTGGAAAGCCCTACACCATTCCAGACAAATGGCTTTCCAAATTATTCTTAAAAACCTCCAGTGATGGAGCACCCAAAACCTCTGGAGCCAAACTCTCACAGTTACTGCTACTGAGCCACGTATCACCTATTCTATACCTGTGCATTCCTTTTTTCTTGCCTAAGTGTAAAGCCATATTGTTCTCACCACTGAAATGTAGAGATAAGTAATAAAAAATATGGCCCCCATGAGATCCTTTGTAACTGAAGCAGCAGGAAACATTCAATGTAACCAACACTCACAGCTTTTGGAACCCAGTTCTCCTTCTCAATTTCAGTTGATCTTCTGTGTCTCACAGGACTCCTAATAAGGAGTGGTAAGGCCACACTTGGACTTCTGCCTCCAGTTTTGGTCACCACAATGTAAAAAAAGATGTTGAGACTCTAGAAAGAGTACAGAGAAGAGCAACAAAGATGATCAGGGGACTGGAGGCTAAAACATATCAGGAACAGTTGCTGCAATTGGGGATGTCTAGTTTAACGAAGAAAAGGACGATGGGGGGACGTGATAGCAGTGTTCCAGTATCTCAGGGGCTGCCACAAAGAAGAGGGAGTCAAGCTATTTTCCAAAGCGCCGGAAGGCAGGACAAGAAGCAACGGGTGGAAACTAATCAAGGAGAGAAACAAGTTTAAGTTTTTGAAGAAACTGGACAGCCATTTGTCCGAAATGGTATAGGGTTTCCTACCTTGGACTAAATGACCTCCAAGGTCCCTTCCAACTTTATTATTATTATTATTATTACTATTATTATTATTATTATTATTATTAACCCTCAACTAAGACTGCAGGGATATTTCCAACTCTGCATATATTCTCTGTCTTGAGAGAAATAGAAATCACCTGGATGAGGGAGGAATACTTCAACGAAAGCCAAATCAGTCTGTGCTTCATCTGAGTGCCACAAAGACACACCAGGAAGCAGAGCAGCTGTTTTCCCAAAACCCACCCATAAAAATGTGTCGCCCATGATAGCAGTGCCAACCCCAGATTTCCACCACTTACTTCTAAGGGCTCTTCCCATAGTCCAGCCATTGGTGAACCTGGCCGAGCATTATCATCGTGGACTGTCGAGTTTGGGCAGCAATTCAGTAAGGAATTTTCTTTGACCCATTCAGACACTGCAAGTCCTGAGCCTCCCATCTTTTATAGCCATAGCAGGTTAGATGTTCAACTAAGTCTGCTGCTCTTCTCAGGGCTTTTGTAACAGCTAACAAACAGGAGTGTTTCAATACAAGGAAGATGCACCGTTGCCTTAGGTAAGAACTATTTTGCAACAGTTCACTGAGGTGATATGATGCAATCATTACAACTCCATAAATAGAGAGCCAAGTCTGTCCAAGGAGTAAGATTTTGTCCAGAACCAGTCTCAGCATGAAGATCCTTTATCTGCTGTTCGCATTTCTTTTCCTTGCATTCCTGTCTGAACCAGGTAAGAAATAAAATTACTGATAATTTACAAAGGATTGGTAATTCACACCTTTTTAAATAAATACGAATATCACTGAAAGCAGGATAATCTCCAACATCTTTTTGTTTTACTTTACAGAAATAGCTTTGAACAGTATAGACAATTGACAACATGAGCCTCCAAAGATTTGAAAAATATGCCATTGATTTTTCTTTTGATTCACAATTCTTGAAAGAACTTTATTGGGGTTTTTGTTATTGTAGCTTATTTTTGTTGATTTGCTTCACTTTAACATTGGTTTACCAAATTCTCAGCTCAGTCAAGGTCTTCATCCAAAACACACAATGCAATTGGCCACTGTAACTCAGCAAGGATCCTTGGCAATATTGGAGAGAAATATATCACAGTAAGGTCTATTCTTCATATGAAATAGAATTATTTCTTCCCTCCTACATTAATAGATGTAGGCTTACCAGCTAATTCATCTTTGAGTCAGACTTCAAACCTGGGTTAATGGCTGATTTATTTGAGCTGCTGCAGGAGATCAGCAGAGATGGATCTGTGTGGTCAGAGAAAACTTGCTGTAGTCCTAGGAATCCTGGAATTCCTGGAAGGATGCTTCCATTCCCATCTTGGATGAACGGTTACAAAAGCTGATGGAGTTAGCAGAGATGGCTAAACTGACAGTTTTGATAAAAGAAAAGAATATAAGTACTTTTGTTTGTACTTGGATACTGCTTCTGGACTTTGTGCTATAATTTGCTATAATTTGTGCTATAATTCTATAATTTCACACAGTCTCATTCTTCCCTTTGGGTTTATTTATTTATTGTAGTGATTACTTTGCCACTGATGTCTTCCAGCTAATGTAGTTGCTTGGGCAGAAATAGTATAAAATCAGATTTAAGCTTTTCACTAAGATCTTGGAAAGAAGCAGAAAAAAAATTCTTAAGATTATTTTTTCTCAAGTTAAATACCATTTTGAATACCATTTAAATACAACTTAGAATAAGAATGACTTTGTCTGATGACTTAATATCAGCACAGCCTGGATCTTGATAAAGATAAATATGCCATTGATTTTTCTTTTGATTCACAATTCTTGAAATAACTTTACTGAGGTTTTGTTATTGTAGCTTATTTTTTTGGGTACGCTTCACTTTAGTATTGATTTACCCAATTCTCAGTCAAATATGTTTTGTTTGAATAAGGAGGCAAAGTGGAGAAACAGTTTGGTCTAGTGATTAGAGCAAAACATGACAACTCTGGGTACTGAGTTCCAGTCCCACCTTGGGCCTGAAAGCTGACTGAGTGAATTTGGCTAAACTGACAGTTTTGATAAAAGAAAAGAATATAAGTACTATTGTTTCTACTTGGAAACTGCTTCTGGCCTTTGTGCTTGAGGTGGAAAAAAATGATACGATGATTTTGGGGTTTACTGATTAGACTGATTTGTTGATAGAGAAATGGCTAGTTCATACTAATACAGAAATGCAAAAAGTTGAGATTCGATTTTCATGCCTTATTTTATTGCAACAGGGAATCGGAAGTCAACGCCTTTTGTTTCTTTCCCCCCTTTCCACATTTCCTCTTTCCCTATTGTTGTTCCTTACTATTTGCTTTTTATTTTGATATTTTTACATTATAAATGAATAAAAATATAAATGGATAAAGGAATCCTGCAATTCTGTAGAAGAAGGTAGTGTCTTGGAAGGAAAAATATATTTAAATATTAAGGAATCTTTACTCATCGTTTACCTGTCTCCTCTTTTTCTTTTCATAGGGAATGCCCAACCACAGTGTAATCGGGAAGGCGGATTCTGCCGTGTCAGCCGATGTCCTCTTGGAACTTCTAACATTGGGAACCTGGGCTGTGGGTCGCTATTGAAGTGTTGTAAAAGGTAAGACAACTCTCCTCTAATAGAGATACTACAGATAGAGTACATAATGAGATTCTCTGCCTGATATTGTTTGCATTCAAAAAGCTTTGGAAAGCAAAGAATTTACTTTAAGCTCACTTTGATCAACTTATTATTTTTTTCTCATTTGTATAGGACACGTGGAAAATAATGCTGTCTCCCTCTACGACCATGGATATCTTCAACATATGGCCAAGCACCTGAGATTGCTGCCTGCTATCGCTTTATCTT